TGTCGCCCTCCCCAGCACCCCTCTTTCCCCCCCTTCCTGCCTGGTGAGGCCAGGAGCCCCTACCACTTCTATCACTGGATGGGGGCCTTGCCAGGGCAAGATGGGCACCCTGAGAGGAGACCCCCTGAAAGGGTCGAGCACATTGGTCTGCTAGCACTAGGGGACAGAAAAGTGGCTGATTTGGGATGGGTGAAGGGCAGGGCAGCCCTATCAGACCATCTGGCTGACCAGCCGGCTCGCCAGGAACGCTGTTTGGGCATGCATTCCTGTCACTGTTTGCCCAAGGCAGGGCACAGGCTGAGACTGGAGGTCCCAGCCCCACTCTCAGAAGTGAGATATCTGTGGAAATATGCTCTGTACCCCTACACCTTGCTGCTTGCCATCCCTTCCTGCTCTGGGTGATAGGAGCCGGTCACAGAGGGAGCCCAAAGTGGCCAATTCCCTTCCTCCTCCCACTGCCATTTCCCATTCTGGGAGCTGCTGAGAGCCCCTCGCCTTCTGGCCTTGCCCTGTCCTTTTGGAGGTGGGGATGAGTGAGCATGAAGAGGGAGCTGGTCAGGGCATCTGCCTGGGAGATGGCGGGGTCAGGGTGAGGTCTAAACAGCCTGGGGCCAGAAGAACTGGTTCGGGATAGAAGAGTGTGCTGAGTGACCAGTACGTGATGCTCAGGACAGCTGTGCCCCTCACCCCGGCCGCTGGTGGATGTGTGTCCCTTGCGATCCACAAGACCATCATCAGTTCTAACCCCAGAAACTAAAGACCTTTCTGGGGCCACAGAGCCTGGACACTGTCCCCACACTCACAGGGACGGGACAGCTCTCTGTCCCCTGCCATGTCAGTGCAGATTGCTTTGTCCTGCCTCGGTGACAATGGCAGAAGGTGGTGGGGTATCTTAGAGGAGAACATATGCCTCTAGGTCCATCCTCGCTGTTGCAAATGGCAGGATGTCCTTTGCAGCTGAATAGTATTCCAGTGTATATGTGTACCAGGTTCTTCCATCAATGGTCCCTTAATTGTGCCCATGTCATGGCCACTGTGGATGATGCTGCTGTGAACATGGGGTGCAGAGGTCTCTGTGGGACAGAGACTTAATTACATTGCGTGAGGCAAGTCAGAGACAAACACTGTGATCTCGTGGAATCCAAGAGACCCCACACACTCATAAAAACTGACCAGATTTGTTTCCAGAGCAGGGGTAGGTGAATTGGGGTAAGAGGTCAAAAGGCACGAGAGTCTGGTTACGACTAAGTCCTGGGGTGTGATGCACAGTAGGGCGGCCATAGTTAATAATGCTTGATTGTATAATTAAAAGTTGTTAAGAAAGTAAATCTTAAAAAGTTCTCATCACGAGGAAAACCTGTAACTGTATGGTAACAGGTATTAACTGGATTCGCCAGGGTGACAGTTCCAGAGTGTGAACAAATACCAAATGTGTCCCCCGCTTGAACTGTGTGCAATGTTACGTGACAGTTACATCTCGGTAAAACAGGGGAAGGAAGAGGAAGGCAGGAAGGCTGGGGGCACTGGCTGGGCAGGGCTTTGGGGCTCTGAGGCTAGGAGCTCTGGGTGCCTCTCAGGCCTCCTGTCCTTCATCTGTAACCTCCCCAGCCCTCCAGCACTGCTGTCCCCAGGGTGGGGTGGGGGCAGGCTACTCAAGCCCGGGAGACCGAGGGGACTGACTGGTCTGGTCGGGTGACCCTGACCCCCTCAGGCCTTTGCTTACTGGTGAGAGGGCTCTGTGGATGTGGCCTCCTTCCCAAGGCACTGAAGCTCAGGTCAGGTTTTGAACTGTGCCACGGCTGAATAAATATCCTGTTCTGTGGGGAGATGCAGAAACACCAAATCTATGACAATGCCAGGAACTTGGCTGATGAACAATCATCTTCCAGGGCTAGAACTACAGGACGTTCTAGACACTGTCCTCCTTCATTCCCATAATTCCTCAGCCTTCTTCTGTCCCAGGGGCTTTCCTGAGCCAAGTCCTGGATCCTTCCAGCAACCTACAAATACTCCCACTCCTCAGGCAAGGGTGCTGAGGCCAAGAGCGCAACTACACCCTAGGCTGTCTCGGAGATCTCGGCTCTCAGCCGCTCCTGTCCACTGCCTCTCTGTCCCACCTCAGCCCGTCTGTCACCCCACTGCCACTGCCCAGACCCTCAGCATCTCTCACTTGGACATCTGCCACTCCAACAGATGTTCCTTGCAGGTGCCCCTTGGGTACAAGACAGGCTGCAGCATACCCCTTTGGGGGCACCCCGAGCCCTCACAACCTCCTGAGACCCCCCTCACCTGGCTGAGAAAGCCCTCTCTACCTCTGCCTGAGAGAGTCCCATCACCTCAGACACCGCCAGGCAAGTTGGGCTCTGGCTAGGTGCCACTGACACTCTTCACATGCCATTTGGAACCTTCAACATCACAGGGCAGTGTGGTGGCATGTCCCCAGAGGGGCAGGAACCTGTCTGGTTAGATGTGGCACATGACAGGTAACTTTAGGACCCTGGAGACAGAACCCTGGAACTCAGATCACACCTACTTGCTGGGTGACCTTGCATGACTCACTTAACCTCTCTGTGCTCAGATGCCCCCTCTCAAGTGCATGCACCACACATGGTCACAAGGATTAAGTGAAGCAGCAAAGCCTTCCAGTAACCTGGGCACCCAGTGTCACTGAGTCTTGTCCCCTTCATGCCCTGTTGTCTGCCTCCTGGAGGCTCTTGTCGACCATGTGTTGGCTGAAAAAAAGTCCTGTAAGCTGAGCTCCGTGCATGTGCCAAACCTCCCTGGGTACCTTCTATACACCCTGACACTGACTTTCCCCATGTTAACGGGGAAGAAAGAGGCCACAGGAAGGGCCCTAGCACCTGCCTCTAGTGACCCAGCTCTTAGAGGTGGCCGCTCCAGGGATGATGGAGGCACAACAGCCTTTGAGTCACGCAGGGAGTGGGGTCTGCTATAAATCTGTTTCTCCAAGTCATGCTGTTTTTAGTGTGCTGGGCAATGCCCATGTGTGCAGGGACACTTGGCTGGGCCAGAGGCACCACGTCCCCTGAAAGGCTCTAGGTGACCCTGGGACAGTGGGCCCTGTGCAGGCTTGGCCCACGGCTGGCAGTGCGCTTTGTTCTCTTGGAGGTCAGCGTGGGGGGCTGAGGGGTTCTGACGAGCAGTGCTCTTTAGCTTGGTTCTAGAATGTCGAGGGGGCCCAGCTCCTGTGTTCTCTCCAGGAGAGGGCAGATCCGATGGGGACCATGTGAGCAGAGGTGGGGACCAGGCATCTGTCCCAGATGACTGAGTGTAGATGAAGCCCCTGCCAGGCCACCCCATCCCACTAATGAAGGCCCCCAGGAGGTACTCCCCGGGCCCCATCAAGCAAGGGGCTGCGGCCACTGAAGCCACAGGCAAGAGCCTCCACCTCGCCTGCTGGACTTGACCCACAGCCACCTCTTGTGGCCAGCCCTCCATGATGGCCATGGTGACTGCGATGTGTTCCACCTGACGGGCTCTGGCGCTGAGTCACATCGCAGACCCCAGCTCAGTCACCTTCTTTACAAAGCTTTGGCTGGGCTGGGTGGGCCTTTGACTTTGCAGGGCTGTTAAGTGGACTTTGGTAGCTGCCTGAACTGGCCCTGTCATGACTTTGCAGCCCAGAGCAGCCAGCCCCTTTCAGTAAGACAAGTCCAGGACCTGGCATGTGGCCTGCCTACACTGCTAGTGGTCGAGGCCTGTCCCTAATGCCCAGTTTCATCCCCTTCTTGCCAGCTCGCTGTCATTTCCTGAGGGCTGGAGGACAGAGCTCCATGGGGACAGGTCTGGGCCCTGGGGGGCTCTAGCGACAGAAGGAGCAGGCCCTGAGCACAGCTCCTGTTCTCACCAGCTGAGTGTTTCCTCAGCTGTAAAGTGACAGTACTGGCCACCTCCTGCAGCCACTGGGAGGATGATAGGACTCCATAGATATGCAAGGTGCATATGCAGTGCCTGGCCCAAATTGAGAGCTCCAAATGACAGCAAGATAGTCCTGTAACATCTGTTAACCTGTGCTGCTGTGGGTCCCTTGGGTAGTCGTGTGCAGGTGTTGGTGCAACCTGTCCTTTGGTCCAAGTCAGGACCACTGAGCAGGTAACATCTAAGGAATGTCGCATCTGCCCTTGGGGTGGTACCAGATATGCCTCCAAGGAGGTTCCCTCTTGCCTAAGACCAGAGGCAGAGGGGGAGGCATGGCGGCCATAAGAAGCTTTGAGGGCAGACACCATCCCACACCGTGAGGGACCAGTGGTCCCAGCATACGATAGGTGCTCAGTGAATGCTTGCTTTTTGCAGAGGCCTGCCCACCAACCAGCATTTGGACCTTCAGACACTTCAGAAACAGCTGGTTGCAGATGGAACTGAGCAATGAGATGCTTGGGGTGGGGGGTGAGGCGGGGAAGGGGTGAGGCCAGGAGAGGGCATTTATGAGGCTGCCCATCCCGCTAAGGTTCCAGTGCGAGCTGGATGCAGATCAAATGCCAAATGAAAAGTGCAGATTGCTAACTTGACTTGGATGGGAGGAAAGAGAAAGTTGTGGGTGAATCCCCTGCAAAGCCTTGGGCTAGTAAGTATTCCACAGTGGGACCTGCTTGCAACAGAGAAAGACCATATCAAAGCTGCTTTAAAGAGAAGGATTAAATTTTTAAAACCTTGGGAAACAGCTAAGACTTCTGCTTCCCCGTTTTGATGGGAGTGAAAAGTGGGGCTCCATTAGCATCATGGTGTCAGGGCACTGGCAGTTCTGTGGAAAAACGTAGACTTTCCTCATCATTTAATTGCAGATGTTACACACGTGACAAACTTCCTCCCATGTCTTTAAAGTTTATACTTTAACTTTTCAGGATAAAGCCCCAATCAAACGTCGTGCTCCTTATTCACTATGAAGTTTACTTAACATCTTGTGTTAAGTGGACTCACTAAAAGTGCCCCTTAATAACAAAGGGACAGCCTGGAGATACCACTGAGACCCAACTGAGCCATGGGGTCCCCAAGTTGCAAGGGACATGAAGTATCTACTAGTCAAACATCTGCTCGAGGCTTCCATCTGTGTCCCACGTGGCCACTAGTAAGAGGTCATCCAGCCTCTGCCTGTGCACTTGCAGCCTGGGTGTTGATTGGTGTCTGAGGCACCTGTTCTTGTGTCCCAGGTCTGGAACAACCTTAAGTTCTTTGGGTGATAGGACAATGCGAGCTGGGCTTTCAGGAGTCCTGAATGCTCTCCTTTCTGACTGTCCCCTGTCCCTTCAGCCCAGACGTCTCATACCCAAAACATGGCACTCACCACTTGTCCCTGAGTGTCCTTTCTCTCTGGAGGGAGCCCAGTCCCTGTTCTCTCTTATGGAGTGGCCCAAGGGAATTCTAAAACCTGTTTACCACCCACGTCCCAAACTAGAACAGAACTCAGCACACAGCCTGGAGCACTGTGACCAGCTGCACAGAGAGCGAGGACTTATGTGCCTCATTTTCTTTGGCTTAAGGATCCTCTAATTGAGCACAGATCCCTTTGTATTGTAGGAAAAAGAAGGGGACCCTCATGCTGGTACTTGGCAGGTTTCTAGAGAGGGTAAGGCTGTCCTAGCTGATGCCCTGGTAGCTTGGGATGCCGGGTTGCCCAGTGCCAGTCTCTGAGTTGACAGTGCGGTGGCCCAGCATACACAGCTGCCCCGTGAACTGCCCTTTGATGCTGCCTCTAGAGAGTCAATCTGAGCCAAGGATTCTTCAGACGGAGCTGACGTGATGACAGTCCTATCCCTGGGGAAACAAAACGCAAAACACACCCAGCCAAGGAACTGAATATAAAGGCACTTTATGGAGTATTTCAGAGGCGTGGCATCCTCCACAGGACATCTACAAATATTTGTCGGGCAGGTTTTACTCCCCATGAAGACTTAGAAACGTGCTGAGATGGGTGCTCAGAGAGAGGGAAAATTCCAGGGGAGAGTCCTTGGGACCCACCCAGGGCTCAACAGGGAGTCTCGTTCCGCCCTCTCTCAGGTCACAGCCCCCGCGTACCACCGTCCCCCTCATGAACAGAGAATGAATGACCTGAGAAAGTCATCGGAGGTAAAGATCCCCCAACCCTGACATGAAGTTATATAGGAGAGTAAACATAACACTCACAAGAAACAGAGTGTTGCTTTTTTTTGGGGGGGGGGCGG